CTAACCATTCTCTCAAAGGTTACAATTCCCCTTTTGACTTATTCAATGATTTAACAGTGATTCAGCAATTTTATATATTTCAGTAGTTTTCTACGACAGTACCCCTAAAACACTAACAATAGACAGTTGGACCCAAAAATGTAAAATAAATCAATGTAGCAGAATCCAAAATATGGTCGCTTTTATTTACACACATTCTTCTCCCTTGTCAAAACCAGAGATTTGAATGTGTTATTCTAGTTGTGGCAAATGTAGCCTGGAGCCTCTAGCCTCGAGCAGAGATGAGGAGCTGGTTAGAGAGGTCTGGGCCCCATTTCAGAAAGCGGGATTGATAAAAACTATGTATCATGTATGTAACCATGAATCTTCTCGGGAGGAGGTTCACTTCAACAGAGTTTCTCTCTGACTCCTCCCCTCCTGCGGCACCTGGCTGACACAGCGTTTAATTTCCTCATTCATACTGTTGATATCAAAGCACATATCATTTGCAGAAGTAAAAAAATCAAAATCATGGTTTTTATTATTATGTATTAGTTTGTTATCAAGACAGCGATCTCTGGACATTGCGATTCATCCTCAGAATAAAATCTATAGCCTACTGTACTTCTTTATAACACTGTGACTGCTGTCAGGTTGGCAACAGTTGCACTGAAACACTTTACATTACTACAGTAATCACTGTTTAAATCAAACTAATATGACTTACAGTTACTAATATAACTGATCAATGAACAGTCATCTGTCATATTGTGATTAATCGCATTGACTGGAACATTCCTATCATAGTTATCATGCTGGAAATAAAGTGATGATGACGGGTGCAGCTGAAACAAATAAATGTAGCCTATTTTAAAATTATGTTTTTGAATAGTAGCTGCTTATAGTCTTACTGTGTTTTGAAAGTATTTCATAAATAATGATAAGAGCAAGATTTTTTAAATGTAAAATAGATAATAATAATAGAAGTTAGTTTGGACCTATAGACACATTTTCCACTGCAAAAAAATATTGCTTACTTTGTTGGACTGTGAAGTTACAGTGTCCATGGGTGGCTTAAACTGTGTCTGATCTGTCAGATTAATATTTTTATCTTCATTTATTGCCACCTGCACTCTGTCACGTCAGGTTACAGCTGAATAAATATAGCCTTCCTATTTAATTTGATTGTAATGGACTATAGGAGAATTCCAGTCTGGTAAATGATGAATGAGCTACACTGTAGGCCTATAAAATGTAGGCTAATATTGTTAACGTATTGACTCCTTCCTCCACTCCTGTGTTTTAACATAAAAAACAAATCATGTTCCGCGTTGGCACGCATTCATATTTCTAGCACCACCCGATTAAAATGGATGCTCTGCTCTATATTTACCCGTTGCCATGGTGAATCGGAGCTCCATTGATGATGGATTTTTGGTCATCATAATCAGGCTTTGTTTCACTTTGCAATTATTCATTTAGCTGACGCTTTTATCCAAAGCGACTTATTTTGCCATAAATGTCAGAGGTCGCACGCCTCTGGGGGGGTTAAGTGTCTTGCTCAGGGACACATTGGTGTCTCACAGTAGATTCAAACCTGGGTCTCTCACACCAAAGTCATGTGTCTTATCCACTTTACCATCACCACGCACGTGTTTCCAACAGGTTCAACATACTTTTTAACAAGTTTACCATCTCAGGCTCCGTCAACTCAGAGCTCAGGGTTAAGCTAAACTCTGGTTTGTTAAACCTGCTTTCTGAAGCAGGGCTCTGGTGAGCCCAAACTTACGCTGACTCATGTGACATCACACAAGGCAATTTATCAGATTTCATTCGCCCGAGAGCCACAAAAGGCTTTATACTACCACATATGCAGTGATACTCCCCAAGACCTGTAACCAGAACTCCTCTTTAAGGGCAACACACAGTAGCCGCATACAGCACACATCAAACATCTGAGCCCATTGTATTCTATATATGCACCCAAATTCCTCACTTCCCAGGAAACTTAACAAATGTTAATTTTTGGCCTCAGGTGAAGATGCCAACAATGGTTCGTTCAGACTTGTCCTGAGGTGTCTCTAACGCCCATAATCACTGTCGTTACCACAGCCAGGAGCACTAACAACCAGAAGTATTGATGATCCTTGCAAACAGTTACACAGAGGTTAAATAGTTTCACCACCAGTCAGTCAGAACTGAAGAAGTCCCTTGGATGAGGGACAAAACCTCTTCTAGTATCTTCAACCAAGTCCAGTTGCCCTTGATTTTAACCTTCCTTGGATAACTATGACCCGGATGATGATACAGTATGTTAAAAACCTACTCAAAGACAATGAAAGCCAACAATGTTGACCCAATGCATTTGGTCTAAACTTGCAGCTGGTATCCTGTGCAATAGCCGGCCTCTACAGTGCAGCATTTGTTTTCATGGCAGTTTGAGTGTGTATGTAGGCCCACCTGAATGTATTTGTGCGCTCCAGTGCAAGTGACTGAGTTCTGAGCTCCAACACACTCTCTTTGTCATTAGCAAAGAACAGAGTATAAACATTCTGATTGCAACCTCTCATTTTTAGTCGGCACTAAACATTGCTTTGACAAACAGTGGCAGGGCTGGCCGCTGATTGATGGCAAAATTAAACTCATCTGTTGTTGGGTTAAAGTGCTCTCCACAAGTTGGTGTCTGTACTCAGCCAAAGCCACTCTGTAACACCACCGTACCACTGCTAATGTTTTTGTAGCTCCAATTTTAGCTTAGTAATATCACTAACAGATCACGGTCAGTTTCAGGAGTCGCCATTCTCCAATATAAAAATTTCATCCACCATATCAATAATTTAAACTGACTGATTCATAGTTTGAACCAGGGGTCAAGTGGCCTGTGAAAAAGGTGTGTCAGATGAATTAGTCAATGTGTCAGATATCTGCAGATACTCGCTGTTAAAGGACACAGATTGGAAAAACTTGACTGGGGTATCCCTATGTAAACTTAATTTGATATTGTACCATTACATACATTTAAAAATCATTTTGAAAGCAAGAGACAGGGTTAAAGATTTTCTGGTAAAATGAAGAGGCCAGTTTAGACCAACAATGAATAAGCTTATGCACCACTATGAGTTGCAAATAAGGAAAATCTTTACTGTTCCATGTGATGCTATTTTCTGATTTTGTTTAGCATTTTGCGCTGTAAATAATGAAGCTCTGAAGCTTTTCTTCTCTGACAAAAAGACATGTATTGGATTAGAATCGCATACCCCACCTTTGTACAATCTTATAGAATTTACTGGTCTATTTATATTTAGCATGTATTTAGACTGTATATACTGGCTGCTATTTTGTCTTAATTGCTTTGGCCAGGGTTGTATTTGTAAAACTGCGACATATGACTAATTGATTAAATGTATTTCTGTGTGCTCATGGGTGGGTTGTTTTTATTACATATGTTCAATGTCAGACATCATTGTTTTTATATTAAAAATGAAGCTAAAGCTAGGTAATATATTTCAGAGGCGATCTTGTTATTTGTTGAAATTCTCTTTACATCCTGACCAAAACCAATAAGTCAAATGCAACAACGAACATGTGTTTTAGGGAAATGGCTTTGGAGGGAGTGGGTGGGACTTTTTCAGTTCACTTTCAAAAATCTAGCTGTATCTTGAGTTTTCCCACCATAACCTACTCTAGCTTTAAGCCTGAGAATTCGTTTAGGCAGACAACTCCAGTCCACAGCTACTCTCACATGGCATAGTGTACATCCAGAGTCTCTTATTTGGTATGTCCTCACTCCTCGCTTGAACCAGAAGTCATTCTTTGTCCCCCATCTTGTTAGGCCGTCTCTGTCAGGACCGGGGCCAGAAACTCAGACGCAGATCAGAATAGGTGCAATGGGAGAATTTATTTAACACAAGTGAGAACAGAGATGTGGTTTGGAGGGGGGTGGTCGTTCCGAGGGTCATGAGGTCCAGGCTCCTAAGCTCAGGGGGTTCCGTGTCACATGTCCATGAACTGGCAGGTATTCTGTGGTTGAGACAGAGAGAACACAAGTTAGCATTCAGCACAAGGATTTTGACTAGATGCTGGTAGTTCAGGACAGAAAACAGGCTGACATGTTCATACTGTATAGTACAACAATCCAGCAGGGACTGGAAGGTTGAGCTGGTCTTTAAAGGTGAGTTGATTGCAGGATGAGACACCGGTGTTCTAATTAACAGGATGCGTTGCAGGTGAGTTGACTGGAGCTCCGGTGACCACGCCCACCAGCAGACCCAGAGCATGAGGGAGGAAGCAGAACCAAAACACACCAAGCACACCGCAAACTCAAAAATTACACTCACACACATACCAACAGGCAGGTCAGGGTCACGACCGGGGGTTAGTGACAGTCTCAAAGCTCTTATTTGTGTTCAGAGGAGCAAGGAAGGATCTCTGAGGAGCCATGAGCAAGGAAACACGAGAGCAGCCTTAACGGAAATCTTTTTCTGACCAACACGCCATTATTATTATTGGATATCAGTTTTACTCTCAAGTATTATATTTGATTTGTTTCTGATTCACTGTCTAGTTAAAAATCTGTGTTTATTCTAGGTCTGAACGACAAAAAGACCAAAAACAACGTTCTTCAAGATTTTTCTTTTCATGATCTGTGATTTCCCCATTAACTTTTATCATCAGAGAGTCTGTCTGTCAGCAAGAAACACTTAATTTACACTACAATTTATCATTTCCATTCAGTCACATGAGACTAATAATTCCTGAGCACTGGCTTTGATATTGAGTTTTATTATTTCATTTTCCCTGAAAAATTTAGCCTAATATACTATGTCCAATGTTCAAAAGACAGCATGATCATATTCTAGGTTATTCAATAATAACTTCATAATGAGATTATCAATAAATAATAATAATTAATAAATAATATAAAGGCATTCTGCCAGTAGAAATGAGTCCTGTGTCTCTGAGCAGGACCTGTTCCTTGACAGTCTCTTCTTCCTTTTCATTATTTCCTCTGTGTTTTGTAGGCTCAGGACCCCCTGCAGACCAGACAGTGGTCATCGAGGAGTTTCGCTATCTGTCCCAAAAGCTCTTTGTGTCTGTGTCTGTCTTTGCTGGGTTGGGGATCCTGCTGGGAATCGTCTGCCTCACCTTCAACATCTACAACAGCAATGTCAGGTACAAAAGCTCACCTTGACTAGACATTGATTGAGATCAACATCAAGTTAATTTAAAGTTGCACAAATCATTATTTTTATATGAGCAATGGTTGGCGTGTTATGTGTATGGACTGACTTGTGTGACAAACAGATAATTACTACCGAATACTGAGGTATTGGTTTTAGGACCCACAAGCTCTGCTGTCATCAACCTGTGAACAGCAGGCACCTGTTCACAGTACAAAAAAGCTCTAAAAACCCAGTGTACACAACCCGCCCAGCACCAAACAGCAGACACTCACAGTTTGGAGCATGCAGCAGCTAAAGAATTTAATACTGTATATTTATTTTTTGCTAAAGCTGAAAGGAGTGTGAATATTGGACTTAAACCCTTTTCAGAAATGGAATATGTATCATTGCTGGCTTCATCGATCTGTTAAAGAAATGACATTTTGTCATTCAGACATAGGTGTCTTATATGTTACTGATATTACTTCCTTACAGCTTCATGCAGACATGACAGAATATTTAAAGAAATAGACTATAGTCATGCGATGTTTGGCTCTCCTCTTGCACCGTGAGTTATGGTTAGAGGGACGCTCTGTGTCTCTGTTGCAATGACACAGGAGGAGAAGGTTGGGTGGAAGATAAGCAGCCCACATATTTGAAGCATTCAGTAAGAGAGAGTAACATTATACATAAATATAAAATGATCAAAAGATTTCATTAAGTTACACAAATCAGTTTAGAAGTAATATGTTTAAAACCTTTAATTGAATTTTTCTAAATGCAAGATGACAATTCATAGTTCACGTGACATGCACTGTGACCTGGAGGGCAAGATAGCGGCTCACATCGGACTCTCTCGTAGAGACGCCGCAAAAGCCATAAAATTTTATTTGGATCACCTCTCAATTCAAGAAAAAGATAGATATGGACACAAACTGCAAGTGTTGGTTACTTGCGATCTATATACATCACCTGCTGTCGTATTTCTGCCGTTAAAAACCGCCAGGTCCCTGCCAGCGTTCGACTGTGGTAATGTTTACATTTACCTTGCAGGGAATCCCTCACCTACCACAGCCCAGGCTTTCTCCTTATCGATTAGTGCATCTAAAAGCACAACAACCATTCAGCATTTTGGCAACGCAAAAGTAACAGTGTATCACTTGCTTCTTGGTTGGCGGCCAGGGGAAAATAATGTCTTTTTTGCTCTCCAAGGGAGCGTTTATCTTGGAATGTGACGTCACGTGAAAACTATGTTGATGGTGTAAAACAGTTGAGTTAGTTAAAAAGACATTTTGGGCCGAACTGAAGGCATTAATCTGTCAACCTTGGTTATCACTTCATAAAATATATTTTTTAAGGACCTAAACTGTGCCAGGGACAAAACCTCACCTTTAATATGAATGCATTTTGGACGTGATCTATGTAATATTTACAGAGCTCAGTCTGAATGTTGACGGTGACTCCTGTAAAAATGTATGTATGAGGCAGATTGTTGAATCCACACTTACTGCAGTTTGCATTCCTGACAGACAGCTAACTGGGTGACAGTTTCCCTCTGACAGCAGCAGGATGACAGTAAGAAGCTTTGTGTGAGCACTGGGAGATACAGCCTTTGACAAACACAAATATCCTTCTGTGCATGATAGTGTTGGTGTGTGGGTGTATGTGTACTGTATCAGGCCTGTGCTTTCACTGTGACCCTGAGCTTGAATTCTAAAGTTTTCTGTTTTTCTATTTTGGTAAGAGTGTGTGTGTGTGGGGGGGGGGAGGACCAAAAGTCAAGATAGTCAGCTGCAGTGCCCAATGTATCAACGGAGGGAATGCTCTGAAAGCGGTTACAGATGCATCTCAGAAATTTAGAATATCATGGAAAAGTTCATTTTTCCCCACAATTCAAGTCAAAAAGTGAAACATTTTATTATAGATATAGATTCATTGCATATAAAGTGAAATATTTCAGCACTGTTTTTTTTTTTTATCTTGATGATTCTGCTTTACAGCTCATGAAAATCAAAAATCCATATCTCAAAATATTAGAAAATTATAATAAAGAATGCGTAAAACAGACATGTCAACCTGAGAAGAGCCTTTAATCTCTCAGTCTGGTTCAGTACACACAACAACAATCATGGGGAAGACTTCTGTCTTGACCGTTGTCCAGAGGACAAACATTGACACCCTCACAAGGAGGCTAACCGCAGAAGGTCACTGCTGAAAGGGCTGGCTGTTCACACTGCTGGATCAACGCATATTCATGGAAAGCTGACTGGAAGGTTAAAGTGTGGAAGGAAAAGGTTCACAAGCAACAGGGATGACCTCCGCCTTGAGAGCATTGTCAAGCAAAGCCTATTCAAGAACATGGGGGAGCTTCACAAGGAGTGGACTGAGGCTGGAGTCAGAGCATCAAGAGCCACCATGCACAGACGGGTCCAGGAAATGAGCTACAAGTGTCTCATTCCCAGTGTCAAGCCACTCCTGAAGCAGAGACAATGTTAGAAGCATCTTACCTGGGCTAAGGAGAAAAAGAACTGGACCGTTGCTCAGTGGTCCAAAGTACTCTTTTCAGATGAAATCCAGGTCCGAGAGTCCCAGAGGATAAGTGGAGAGGCACAGGATCCAAGTTTCTTAAGTCCAGTGTGAAGTTTCCACAGTCAGGGATGTTTTGGGGTGCCATGTCATTTGCTGGAGTTGGTCCACTGTGTTTTAGCAAGTCCAGAGTCAATGCAGCATCTACCTGGAGATTTTAGAGCTTTATGGAGATGCTGATTTTCTTTTCCAGCAGGACCTGGCGCCTGCCCACAGGGCCAAAACCACTAGGAACTGGCTTGCTGACCATGATGTTACTGTGATTGGCCAGCCAACTCACCTGACCTGAATCCCATAGAGAACATATTGTCAAGAGGAAAATGAGAGAAACCAGACCAACAATACAGACGAGCTGAAGGCCTCTGTCAGAGCAACCTGGGCTTCCATCACACCTCAGCTGTGCCACCCCAGAGGAAAATTCCTTTGCTTAGAATAGTCTTTTCTTTAACTCTTGAGAAAGCACTAAGATCTCAACTGTATATCTTTTTCAGATCACTTCGTTCTGAATTGTTGCTCCTAAAACCCCCTTGAGGTATGAGATAAGGAGAGATTGAGTTTTTGAGACTTGGGTAAGAATAATGGATACTGAATTTAGATTACAATCATTGTATCTTTTTGAGTTGATTAATGTCTTGCCTATTGCTCCTAAAAAGCAGTTAGGAGCACTAGGGAGATGTTAGTGAGTTTGATTGTATTACGTTCTATGCTTAGAGAACTTTTCTGGAGACTTGTCCTGAGCTGGATTTGAACCCCAGTCCTGCTGTTTAAAGGTGAACAACATAGCCCCTTCGCCATCCAACTACAACAAACAGTCACCAACTGATTGTCCTTAAATATAGTACAATTTTCCTTCCTATTCAAAAGAGGAGAATAACCATAGCCACAAGTTTACTCAAGTAAAGGTATAAAAATATTCCATAGTGAATGTACTATCAAAAGTAAAAGTGCTCATCCTGTATGACATTGTTGTATCTCAGTTTTTGCGTGCATTCAATCCTTTTTAATCTCTGAACATCATGTCAAAGTGGTGGTTATGCTGGCTGTGACTACTTAAAAAAATTGGAAAACATGAAATTTTAATGGAGACTTGAATAAGACTTATTTAAGATAATTTAGAGATCTCTTGTTTTGATCACAGTAAGACATAAATGAGATTATATATGTTTTTTTCTGAGCTGAATTTGAGAAGTAGGAGAAAAAGCCTTTGGTCTCACCTTAGTTTTAAAAATAGATCATTTGTGTCTAGGAGAAATGAAGGAAACAACTATGAGATCTATTCTTGGATTTTGCTTTCCTATGGGACAGGCTGTTTGCCTCCATGCCACGCTGCATTGATGCAGTAATTGCAAAATGCAAAAGGAGCCCTGGCCAAGTACTGATGCCTGTTTCTGAACTTTCAACTTTTCAGAAGGTCAACATGTCTGTATTACACATTGTTTATAATAATATTTTGAGATATGGATCGCTGTAAAGTGTAATTAATACTTCTGTGTCGAATGGACGGCGTAGGCTACGGGGCTACACAGAGGCTATGCCATCGCCTGACGTGCACTTCCTCAAAAATGTAACTACACGTCAAGTTGCCTCCGAGTCTATGGCGTAGCTACGCACGTAGACCCTACGCAGGAGTATAAATCAAGCTTAAGCAGTGCAAATGTCAGTTGGTATGTGAGCACAGATAGCAGTCAAGATGTCAGTTGAATTTTAAGACCCCAAAGAATTTTTAATCAAGTAAGGTAAATCAGTTGAAAGCAGTTAAACGATTGAAGTGTCAGTTGAGTGACTTTCTTGTGACTTTCAGGACCAACATTGAAAAAGGAGACTTGATGTTCACTGTGACTGGTGACCCTATCTCAATCCAGTTTCAACAAGAACATTTTTAAAGCACACTGAAACCAAATGCCTGGGTGTAGGACATGAATGTAAAAACTTGGGTTTAAAAATGGCATCATTTCAAGGAATCAAGGCCATTTATTTGTCCTTTTACAACAAATGCTTGCTCAATGAAATAGCCCCTTCATGCTACACACATAGAACATATATGCAAATATTACAATTTAGAAAAGAATAACAGAATAAATAAAATGATATACAATAAATGAAGCACTCTTTGTCAAGCTGTTAATGTCATCGAAAGGTTAAAGTGTAAGCAATGAAAGCAAGGTAATGATAGCTGAATGACTCTCTTGTTGCTTAGGGGACCAAAATTCAAAACCAGTAAATATTATGTATATATTTCCTAACACCTGAGTTGAATAAGTTTTACTTTTTTCACAGGCAGCAATTGTTTTCCATTCCTTTCACTATGGTATGAGTGTATTGTTTGTGTATGCGTTTGGTTATGATTATGTATATATGAAGGTTATCTCCATTTCTTTGCTCCAGGTACATTCAGAACTCTCAGCCATACCTTAACAACATGACTGCAGTGGGCTGCATGATGGCTCTGGCTGCTGTCTTCCCTCTGGGCATCGATGGCCTTCATGTCCAGAGGAGACAGTTCCCCGCCGTTTGCCAGGTACAATTTGAAAGTTGCTCCAAACACAGTGATTTAATTTCAAATTTAAAAACTGACATGACTGTGGGAGGTAGTGATTCAATGCTTTCCATTTTGAAATTGCCATTAGTTTTGCAGGTGATTATTTTTGACTGTTTCACTTCTTTATTGAAGGGACTTTTGTTGTCGTTTATGGACTGGCACTTTTATTCTTAGTCTTGACCTGGCACTGACAAAAGTTTAGTCCTATGCCCCTTTGAAGCTTTGGTTGTGAACTTCTTCAGCTAGAGACAGCACCTTAGCGAGGCCAGCTAAGCTAGGATTGTTTTTACCCAGGTTGCTGTTGATAACTGGCCTCTAAAACATCTTCCACCGTGACAGTGTGTGGACATTCCTCTCCTGCATTCTCACTGTTGCAAGACAACTTCAGACAGCTGAAGCAGGATAAATCCAAGTCCCATGCCTGCTCTACTCCCTGCAACTTAGATTCATGGGTGCTAGTCAAGAGCGGCAAAGGTTGTGCTAAATGCTCCACCTGACCGCTTTCATCTGAAGCTCTCCAGCTGAGAAATAAATTCCGAGCGCTGGACAATGGATGAACCGGTGAGGCTCCAGCTGGGTGACCATCCATTTTCTGCCCAGACCTCCTCATTTGTTATATTATGAGACCTCACCAAGATAACATAACAATGCTGAACAAAACTACACCAAAATATATTAAAGTTTTAATAGATGAGAGACAAAACAAAAGTTTTAAAGATCCATTTTAAACTATAGAGCACTACTACTAATGAACATTAAAGGAAATAGTGAATGTAGCCTATTATGTGGGCCTGACAAACAGCAACTAAAAAAAACTAACTAATATACTACTACTAGTAATTACTAATATGATAATACCATAAATTACTTATGTCATTACAATTATTATATTATAATGATAAACACTCTCCTACATAGGCAATATATTTTTTGTTGTGCAGTAGTTATTACCTTAAATACATACATAATCTGCCACAAGGATACTTTCAATGTAGCATATTCACATCTAGTTTATCCCTTTACCAGCACGCTTTTCATTCCATCCAAAGCTACGAGAATTTTTCAACCACCACCTATGATACAGTGACCCAGAGATTACTTAATAAATAGTGTCATATTTGTCCATACGGTGATTTTACCCATCACATCCACATGCTGCCACACAGCATTTGACTCAAATACTGTCAGGGTTCGTGTGTGGTGAAGCAGGTTGTAGGACCCAAATGCAGGACACAGAGCTGAGCAGGTATAGTTCAATGGTTTTAATTAAACAAAAGGCGAGCACACTTGCAACAGAGTGGCTAAATCCAAAATCCAAAGATGAATGTAGAAAACCAACAGAAAATCCAGAACGAGAATAATCAAAAATACCAGGAACTAACAGGGAACAGGCAGGTAACAGGACACAACGAGACAGAGCATACCCACACAACAAAACACTGCACACAAGGTAATGATCCCACAAGGACAAGACCGAAACACCAGGTATATATACAGGGACTAACGAGCAGGGAGGGAACAACACAGGTGACAGACATGAGGCTAACGAGACACAGGAAGGCAGGGAGACAGCAGGGGAAACAGAGAGAGTAGTAGGCAGGCAGATTACTGAGGGGGAAAAGCCAAAACACATATAAATAAACTAATACAAGCGGACAGATCACAAATAAACTAACACCAACAAGGAACACAGACAGAAGCTAAGGTAAAACAGAACTCGGATAGACATGGGGCAACATGAATAACCAACAAAGACAGAAACACACATGTTACAAAGTGCCAGAACCTAAAAGAGAGAACTAGAACACAGAGTACAGAGGAGACTAACCCAAAAATAATGTAAACAAGAACTAGGAGTGAATACTAAAACAGGACTAAGTACAAGGACACGAGACAAGACAGACACTAAGTAAGATGTGGATGAATAATAATAAAGGCAACACAGAGTAACTGGACACAAGAAATAACTGAAACTCAAAACACAGACTAACTATATAACAGATACTGGACACAGGACAGAACCCAAAACAATAAGACAGATACTAAACAGACTATAAATAACATGACTGACTGAAAACAACCAACTGACCAAAACAGAACAGACACGCTCACAGTGTGACAAATACCATAAGTCAACAAACATCTGATAACAAGATAATAAGATTATTTTATTATATATTTATTATTTATTACTATTTGCTCAACTAAGGCAACAAAAATGGCATTGATTTAAATGTAATTTGTCCTCCTGTTCACCTTATTATGAGAATAAATTGCACTGCATTCTTTTGCAAAAACCGCTTGTGTTTATTATCCAAAATGATGTTTTTTGTGCACTGCAAATGATCTTAAATTATGTTTTTTATTGCGTACTTCAGGGACAATCAATCAAACAGGTTATGGTTTATTCAGAAAGGCTTTCATCTGTTTGGCAGATGAACTAATATTATTATATATAATAAGTTTTATTGGCACACAAGGTAATATTTCGATTTATTTTACACAATGGTATCCAGTTCAAACATTTTATCCTCCTGCCATGTACATCGCCGTTTCTCATTTCTCCAGTTTCAAGAGGGCCTGGGAATATCAAAATATGCAAAATCAGAGGGCCTAGCCTCAGTCAGGGGAACAATGTCCCCTGGGGATAGCCATGCCTCAGTAATCATAAAAAGTAGAGACCATTAGAAACAACAAAATCATTAATGATAAAAGACCTTTTACCTATAGATGACACATGAGGCCGGCAGGGGGAGCTAGCGGGAGGAACAGTGCTCTGAGGTGCCACTGTAGGCGATATTCTTTTTGCTAGGATCATGCTGCAACTGCTCTAGCCCCAACATTTAACATTTTTCAATGCCAGTGGAGAGTAGCGTAAGTGAAGACTACATTAAGGCTCAGTGGTCTGCTGCTTTTCAGTGACAGACATCTAACAAATCTCCATTGTAAACTTTCTGCTCATTGTGATCTCTTTCACAGGGAATGAAAGAACCATAAACATGGAAACTGCAAGGCAGTAGTCTCCTATTCAGTAGTTACATGGATGTAACCTCTGGTTGGCTTACCCTGATGTTCTTACCCTAACCAACCCAACCAACAAAGGAAATGAGCACTAGCCAGTCAGAGGCAGAGTGGGGCGAGGCACAGCTTAATGATCCTAGGAAAAACATTTGGCCCACTGTACGTGGAGATGGAGATTCCGGAGAGGGGGTGTAAGATGATAAACTGAGTTGATGTGGGGTGTGCTACAAGTTAGCCGCTAGCATCCAGCTACCCAGCCTGAGTGGACTCTTTCATTCCCAGTTGGCACACCGAATGCCTGCTCCTGCACTTTGTAACTTGGGTTGAGCATGTACAATATTCCCAGAAAAGTGGGTAATGCTTTACGGCACTATTGCACTACGTCACACACCATTTAGAAGACACAAACTCATTTTCCTCAGTATGTGTCAATTGCATGTGATGATCTTACTGCACATTACTCCAGTGATTAAATAGTCATAACCATTTTAAGTTAAGTATTCCAGTTCAGGTAAAAGGTTTGATATGGCAGTGTTTAAATCTGTGTGTCACAGCAATCCTTTTGAATTTGAGGTCGAGTATTTTTCTGATCAGGCATCTGACAAGAGGGTGTGTTATTTTTATTATTATTATTAATAATAATACAACAGCAGTGTAGGATATTAGACTAATAAAAAATACACCACTATTATCATTACTCTAATTATCTTTATGTGTGTCTTTTTCAGGATGTTAATTGAATAAAATATTTAAATATTAAGGACACAAGCTTTTAATATTTATTTTGGATAATTTAATTGTTAGATTTATTTAGATAAGCTGTTGCTTTAAGCTCTTACCTTTTCTCGTGTTGGCAGTTGTCTGATTCTTGTCCTTCACAGTAGGCAGATATACAGTATCACTGCAGTATTACACAGAGGATATGGTAAGAGATAGACAGCCTCAGAGAAGCTTGTTTTCAATTCAAGGTCATTCTTAAAAGGCTGTTAAACTCAAATCAAGCCCTGCTTAATGATGGAGAATGACTGAAGGTCTAATTTGATTAATGTCTTCTATAGATTAATCAGTTTAATTATGAAATCTTTAATTTCTTTTCTTCTAGTTTCGCCTATGGCTGCTTGGTCTAGGTTTCAGCCTTGCTTATGGCAGCATGTTCACCAAGATCTGGTGGGTCCACACCGTCTTCACCAAGAAGGAGGAGAAGAAGGATAAGAGAAAGGTAAATGTGACAGGGATTTAAAGCTAAGGATTTATGTTCCAGGAGTGAACAATTAAGTCCACCCAACGCTTTTCTTCCATGCCAAGGTTATGCTTTACTTAATCATCATTCCTTTCAAGGGCAAGTTCCACGGCCAGAGATGATTTTTACATTTACTCCCTCCCCTGCTTCTATAGTTGGCCCAAAGTGGGATAGTTGGCCTTCTACTTGAACTTGAGCATTGTGTAGCATTTATTTGTCATGCTGCCTGGCCAGTGAACACCTACAATTGGTGGAGAAGACTTACCCTATTTTTCCATTGCCTACCTCTTTCTTGCCTCCTCTCCTGTATGTAAAAGGACATGTCAGACAGGACGTCTTAGAGTGAAGGCAACCATCTTCCCGACAGAGACACAGCACATTTCAGAATATTTATTAATATCTTTAGTTGAAGAAAGCCTATCAGGTGGGATTACTTTATCAAAGGTTGTGTCAAAACTGACTGAACTCATTTTAACTCACTTAATGGTCATGCTGCAGCGGCTGTGGCCCTTCTCTTTGAGGATGGAAGACATGCTGCTTCAACATCTAACATTTTTCAATGCCATTAAAGACAACATTAAGGAAGTTGAAGAAAGGCTCAGTGATCTGCTTCTTTTTAGTGACACAAGTCTAACAAAGTGTAAACCACTGTAAACCGTGGTATGGTTAGAGATAAGCAATTGAGAGTAAAAACTAAACATAACTAAGACCGAGATTTATGATTTATCAGAGACCTTTTCAAACATTATGTTCTGGCTTCACAAGAACCAAGACCTCAAGGATGAGGCCACTCAGTGGTTGGGTTAGCAAATGTATGTTAGTTAAACTTACCCATTAAGGTTAAGTTTTTCAAAGGGAGATGTCTCAACCGGGGGCGGGAGGCAACCCTGAAAGAGGTCATATTATGCTTTTGGTTTTTTCCTTTCTTTTAATGTGTTATATAACTTTATGGGGATATAATAGGTTTGCAAAATGAAAAAGCCCAAAGTTAACCCCAAAGACAGTTCCCATCTCCCAAAGAAAACACTGCTCTGAACTGCCTGAAAACAGCCTTTTTCTTCTGTAACCATATTGCGTCACTTTGTACCACGTCTCATAATGCTCGCCTAGCGGCTAGTCAAGAACGCCCCCAAAATTCATCCAATATGAATTTGATCTTCTAGAGATACTCAGTAGGTAGTTCCATTATTCCCTCCAGAATGAGCCCCCGGGTATTGCCTCCTAATAAGGACTAGCACGCCTGCATAGTTGATAAGTTTCACAAGAAATAAGGACAAAAAGAGCCGAAGTCATCTAAATTATAGTGTATAGTGCAGGATGCCAAACACTTGCCCAATTACACTCACAGAGGAGGGAGATATAGAGGTAAACAACCATAGGAAAAAGAGTACTGCTGCATCTGGAGCTGTGATTGTGTGGATGGACAGTGTAGATCATTGTGTGGTGCTAGACCAGGATAAGATACCACTGCTACCTTGGCATCTTTTAACACATTCATTCCAACAACCAACAAGCTTCTTGTGGAATAATGCAACAAAATCAATAACAACTTTGTAGTGTTGGGCCTGTTACCGCACAATCTTTCTTTCTTTAAAGCCGAATACATAAAGGAACACCTTTATTTAGTGATGGAGTCTGGGAGCTGTGCGCTTTCATCTGTATGGCTTCTTTGTCTCTTTTCTCACCGTGGCCACTGTTTTGAGTGGAGATCCAATTGGCCTCATTTAGTAACGGATCTTTTTTTGTGTGTTTTTTTTTCAGCTTAGTCTAGTTTATTTATGGGTTCTTAAGTCACTCCCCCACAAAATCAGAAAGAGAGGATCTGTGCTTTTTTCTGATTTCTCTCCATACTGCTGTATTGACCACCACCCCCTGTTTCCCAGCAGCACCTGGAACCATGGAAACTCTACGCAACTGTTGGTGTTCTGCTCGGCATTGATATCCTTTCTCTCATGATCTGGCAGATTGTGGATCCTTTACATATCACAGTGGAGGTATGATCATCCATTCTGTTTGTTATTTATTTATTTGTTATTTATTTATAACTTGCCAGACATTATACACTTTTAGTTTCTCTTAAAAAACGAATGCATTTATGAGGATAACCATATATCTAATACTGTATTTGGTGTGTCAAATAACTGGGTTGACTGTGGAGAAATTGAAAAAGTAATAAAGCAAGTAGAAAGATAAAAGTTATGAAAGCCTGTGCCTGTCAATATTACTGTACACAGCAAACATTTAGCATTTTGCATAATAAATTACATTGTTTGAAATTTGTTGACATTTTCTTCCACTTGACTTATTGTTTAATCTATTAATTGTTTTGATACCTTTTCATTTTGGTAGTAATTACGCATTTCCACACATGAAAATGAACATTTTTCATTCAAAATTTTATTTTAAATTTCATTTAATGATTTCATTTCAACATAGCCACAAACCTCCATAAAATTTATTTTGCATAAATTCAAATTGTTTTTATTTTAATTGCTGTTGAAGTTGTGGCTGTTCTTCACCTGTGTCTTCTTGTTGGATGTATGTGCACAGAAATTCACTAGAGAAGCCCCTAAAGGAGACCTGGATGTTTTGATCCAGCCTTTACTGGAACACTGCAGTTCACAAAAGATGAACACTTGGCTGGGTGAGTGGAACACCAACCAAATCTTGCATCACTACTAAATTCTCTATATCTCTGCATCCCCGTTTCTAGACTGAACAAAATTATAAACACAAATAGTGTTGCATTTATAATTTTGTTCAGTGTATATGACACAATGCCAATTGTTCTGCAGCAGCATGGTTAATTTCATCAATTATTCTAAAACTGCAACAAAAAAGACTTTGAGGTGAGATTGTTTTGTCAAGTGCTGTTTCCAACGTCAAGAATGAACTGGGCTGCACAGGTGAATCACAGGAGAATGAGAGATTACAAATTCATCACAAAGTCTTGCCTTTCTGCCTATCTTTTAAAACCAAACTGCCTTTCTTTCCATAACTAATAGCTCATTGTTTTAGCCCCTGATAATGCAGATTCATTAGCAATTGATGAGAACAATAATAGTGAAAAAAAAGGGTGACCAAGTGTTACTTATGATACATCACAAACAAGTCTCAAGTCATGGTAATTCTGTAGGCTAGGAAAGTTAGGTGTAACATAGGATTTAGAAAATGTAAAATCACTGATATAGACTTTTAATGTGAGAATTTACTCAACAAGTTCTTTACAGTTTTTCTCAGTCACTTTGGTGCATTTGTCAGATCAGAATTGAAATTCTCAAAAGTAATTGTTCAACCTCCACATCATCTCGTCACTTGTGCGCATCATAAAAGCACTTTCTCATTGTTTTGAACAAATTGCAAATGCTTTGACACACTGATGCAAATGATTATGTACAATTGTCTGCTGTTTCCTACATTATCAATTGCTTATGTCATGCTGATCACAATGTATCAGTCTCTGTTGAATAATCTTACCCCCCAAAACATCTAGGCATAAGTTCATTGCATTAGTCACTACATGCAAAATGGTTGAACATGTTATCAAAAATCAAAGTTAAAATACTTTATTCATATCCTTTGCCTACAAGTATATACTGTAGCTAAATGAAATGTTGTTTCTTAAGGACCATAAACAAAGTAAGAATAGACCACAACAACATCACAATTGCAACACTCAGACCAATACTCAATACCAGTAAACAGTAACAATACACAGTGAGAATTAATATATATATATATATATATATATATATACAGTTTGATTAGTGTATTGTGTGTATTATCCTCTTCAGCAAAATTGTTATGAAGAGATTGGGGGGAATCCAATCACACATTTCACAACGGCTATTTCAAAGGTTCAGAAAGCCGTCAGGAAATGTGCAACATTACATGGATTCCCCTGAATGAAAAGGTCTTTCCTCTGCCTGGGAATGATAGGGAAATGACAAGTCCATAGGTTGATGGATGTGGACCAAGAACGCACACCAAACGCTGGAAGGAACAGAGTCCAGCACATGCTTTACAGTAATGTGAGCATGTGAAACAGTCTTTTCATAAGAACTTTGTTGAAGAGGATTATGAAAAATATAAATAAGAAAAACTTCAGTGAGGATTGAACACACAGCCTTGAACCTATAAGTCCTGTGCTCTACCAAGTGAGCTAACCAATGATACAGCAAGCTGCATTATAATTACCATTATGGTTATCTCGAAACCACGAGAAAATTATCCCATTATCACAGGAAAACAGAGTAAAAGAATATTTGATTAGGGCTTCCGTATGTATATATATGAGTGTATATATAGATAGACATTCTATACATGTCTATTTGAATTTTTTTGTAAATGTGCCCTGAATTGATGAAGGTATCTGTTGTGATGTGGAAGACAATCTGTGATAAAACAGACCGGAACGTCAGCCAAAGAGATGTACTGTATCCCATGCAACAGTTCTGTCTCTTTCTTTTCTTCAGAAAATACTTTCAGAGTACACTGTTATATTGACAAGATGGCTAAACATTTTGACTTGCTTGTTCATAAACGAGAAACAAGGACTTGTCGTTCCGATGGCACTGACAAGTTTAATGACATAAAGATTTGCTTTTGAGAGATAGACTAAGGATTTTGAGCAAGTTAAGGGCTTTTGCAGGTAATCCACTGTGTTGTGCTGTTTGTACTACCTGTTTCGAGAAATGCACTTACTATTATGCAAATGTTAAGGATGATTTGAGAAATGCTCCAAAGCGACTGAGAAAAACTGTAAGTACTGTGTGAAATGTGCAGCAGTACAAACAGTTCCACCATTTCTCACAGGTGCCATCTTGTCCATCTCTTTAGGTGTGGTGTACGGTTATAAAGGCTTACTGCTGCTGCTCGGCATCTTCCTGGCCTATGAGACCAAGTCCATCTCCACAGAGAAGATCAATGACCACCGAGCTGTGGGCATGGCCATCTATAATGTTGCTGTGAGTTCACTTAGGGGTGTGTGTGTGTGTGTGCGCACATATTCTAAAGCCTATGACTTACAGGGAAGATTCGGCACCCACCTCCATCCCAGCCCACTACAGCCCTGACCAATTACCCGCTTGGTGAAAATGTTCTGAGGGTCCACATCCTCACTGCCTCTGCCTCTCTCAGTTGCATTCCTTCTGTAGAATGTTTCCTCGTCCCTAATATTGTCTTCACACATAATTTACCTTTACCATCAATATCTATTGGACACCAATGCATAACATTTGAAAACATGTTGTACAAAAGGGGCGGCTGTGGCTCAGGAGGTAGAGCGTGTTGGCCGTTAATTGGAAGGTCGGCGGTTCAATCCCGGCTCCCCCTGGTTGCGTGTTGAAGTGTCCTTGGGCAAGATACTGAACCCCAAATTGCCCCTTCCGCCAGCGTATGAATGTGTGTGAATGTTAGTTTCCATTTGAGCACTTAGGCTCAGTGTATGAATGTGTGTGAATGTTAGTTTCCGTTTGAGCACTTAGGCTCAGTGTATGAATGTGTGTGACTGGTGAATGCAGATGTAGTGTAAAAAGCACTTTGAGTGGTCGAAAAGACTAGAAAGGTGCTATACAAGTACGGAGCATTTACAAAAGCAGGAGATCCTCCAGCATGTGTGAGGCCACATTACCAGATGAACTTAACACCTTTTATGCTCACTTTGATCTCCTCAACAAGAAGTCACCTGGAAAGTCTACTCCAGCTCCAGAGGACTGCCAATATCCACAGCAGATATGAGGAGAGTCCTGCTGAGAGTGAATATGAGTAAATCAGCTGGGCCTGATAACATGCCCTGTGGCTCTCACCCCCATTCTGATGAAGTGCTTTGAGAAACTGGTTCTTCAGTACAACATCCCAGCCACCCTGGACCCTCACCAGTTTGCTTTCAGAACCAAGAGATCCTCAGAGGATGCCATCTCCACTGCCCTCCACTCAGCCCTCACACACCTTGAAAATAACAAGGCAAGACATGTTTATTTATATAGCACATTCCAACAACAAGTGCTTTACAAAAAAAACAAAAGGCAACACCTACATCTTAATGGTGTTTGTTGATTTGAGCTCAGCATTCAACACAATCTCCTCCAGGAAACTGATCGGTAAACCCAGCACTCTTGGCTTGAGTACCACACTCTGCAACTGAATACTGGACTTTGGAAGATCATTGGTACCCATCTCCCGAGCATCAGTGATATCGATGAGGTGAGGTGCCTACGCAGAGCACAAAGGATACTAAAGGACAGTACCCACCCAGCCACAGCCTGTTCACCCTGCTGCCTTCTGGGAAGAGAGAGAGAAATTTCAGCTGCCGCACCACCAGACTGCAGAGCAGCTTTTTCCCCCAGGCTGTGAGACTCCTTAACTTCACTTCATTCTTCTCACTCCATAAATAAATTACACTGAACTTTCCATTATGCTGGATTTGCACATGACCATAACACTACCTTTTATAATACGGTATATATATAAGTAACTGCATATTGGGTTTTTTTCTACTCTAATTTTAGATAGCTAAATATGTTCTGTGTGTGTAGCATGAAATGCAGCCCTGTGTTGTAGAATGATAAATAAATGTACCTTGTACATTGTATGTAGTGAGCAGGATATTTTCCATCCATCCATCGTCAACCGCTTATCCTGTGTACAGGGTCGCGGGGTGGTTGGAGCATATCACAGTTGACATTGGGCGAAAGGCGGGGTACACCCTGGACAGGTCGCCAGTCCATCGCAGGGCGAGCAAGATATTTTACAGTGTAAAAATAAACTTGTCAGTGCTGTGACAAGCAAAAACCAGTATATATTATTGGATGTTTGATTTTTCAGTTGAACTTTAAGAAGGAGTAATGCTATTTCTAAAATCCCTTTGCGTTCTGTCTGTCTACATGTTTAGCACAAGTTTACTTGTTAACTTAGTTCAGGAACCGGGCCACGCCTCAACCACCCCTGTAATCACCTGTCAAACCCTTTTAATTCCAGGTCTACCTATCCTGCTCAGTTTGTCTTAACCCATCCTCCCTCTGTTCATCCAAACCCACATCCCTTCATCCCCTCCTCCCTCCTCCCCTCATTCCTTAATCCCTTCACTGCCCAACCCCACACCTCTTCCAATTAAATCAGGTGCAGAAATGGAATGACTGTGACCAGGAATAATTGACAATCTACCCTCAAGTGTTCAAAAACATCACTGCTCTCTGTCTATAATTAGCTAAACCTGTCTCAGAGCCAGAAAAAGTAGTCAAATGTTCAGCTTTCTAATGTGCATTTAAGAACAAGAAGTACTTTCACTGCAAACCAAGTATTCTGCTCTGCATAACAATTTAAATTTAAATAACGGCGTGAGGCATTTGCTGCTGGTTTGAAGTGTCACTCTCTTTCCAGCCGATCACACACACACACACACAGGCGTGTGCTCAAAGTGGCTTTTTAATCAGCAACATCTCCAGTATGGGTGACTTTGTGATTTTCATTCCCCTCGTCGCATTTTAATTCATCTCAGAGGATTATCCATTATGCACTGAACCCAATTTAAGCCTAAACTGAGTGGGTGAAATGCAAATTGATACGGGGAAATAATCTGCATGTGTTTGCTGTTTTTCCTCTCTTCCCCCTGCTTTGGTCTGTATTTCATGAATGCATGGCCATTCAGATGCCCCCCTCTCTCTCTAAATCAAATCAGTTTGATCCTAGCACTGCTGTCCGCAAAAGTTGGTTAGCCCTGGAATCTAGAGGATGTTTTAGATGTAGAAGTGGCTGTAGGCTCATTTTGGAGCAGGAAATGTCCGATAATTCTTAGGTATTTCTTTGGGAGAAAGTAGTTCCAATAAAAACCATTCACAGTGGGCTGCCATCAGCCAGCCCCATTATAAACTTCCCTGTTTTCGCTGATCACTTGCCAGACGGTCTTTGTGTGTTCATCGTTCTTCAGCATTTTCCAGTGTCAGTTTCTATGGATTTTGGACTTCCCTACTTGGATATGTTATGGCAGCGTGTTGTGCTGCTCTCGCTAAATACCAGTTACATTTGTTAGATTACAATTCAATTCAATTCAATTTTATTTATATAGCGCCAAATTACAACAACAGTTATCTCACAGCGCTTTTCATAAAAGAGCAGGTCTAGACCATACTCTATGATGATATTTACAGAAGCCCAACAGTTCCCACCAAGAGCAGCACTAGGCGACAGAGGCAAGGAAAAACTTCCTTTTAAGAGGCAGAAACCTCGAGCAGAACCATGGCTCAGGGTGGGCGGCCATCTGCCTCCACCGGTTGGGGTGAAGGAGAGAGAGGGGGGGAGAAAGTAGAGGAGAGAGGAGCTCAGTGCATCATGGGAAGTCCCCCGGCAGTCTAGGCCTATAGCAGCATAACTAAGGGATGGTTCAGGACTCACCTGAGCCAGCCCTAACTATAAGCTTTATCTAAAAGGAAAATCTTAAGCCTACTCTTAAATGTGGAGATGGTGTCTGCCTCCTGAACCCAAACTGGAACCTGGTTCCACAGGAGAGGAGCTTGATAGCTGAACGCTCTGGCTCCTAGTCTACTTTTGGAGACTCTAGGAACCACAAGTAACCCTGCATTCTGGGAGCGCAGTGCTCTGGTGGGGTAGTAAGGTACTATGAGCTCTTTAAGATAAGATGGTGCCTGACCATTAAGAGCTTTGTAGGTAAGAAGAATGATTTTAAATTCTATTCTGGATTTTACTGGAAGCCAATGCAAAGAAGCTAAAACAGGAGAAATGTGATCTCTTTTCCTGGTTCCTGTCAGAACACGTGCTGCAGCATTCTGAATCAGCTGAAGAGTCTTAATGGACTTTTTCGAGCAGCCTGATAATAAAGAATTGCAGTAATCCAGCCTAGAAGTAACAAATGCATGGACTAGTTTTTCTGCATCATTTTTAGACAGGATGTTCCTGATTTTCGCAATATTACGTAGGTGGAAAAAGGCGGTCCTTGAAATTTGCTTAATGTGAGACTTAAACGACATGTCCTGATCAAAGATAACTCCAAGATTCCACACAGTGGTGCTGGAGGCCAAGGCGATGCCATCAAGGGAAACTATATCTTTAGATAATGCGTCATCTAACTACCAGAAACGTTATACTTTGTCTAGAAAGAGACGTTGCTGTTGAACTTTTCAGTTTTGTGGGCACCACAAACTAAGGTTTGAAAGTCTCAAGTTTAGACCTGGTGTAATGTCCAGGAGCAATTATTATTAAATATTTATTCCAATGACTTGTTCTCAGTTTTGACTGACTTGAGACTTCCTTGAGTGTCATGTCAGTTATTCCAACTGACATGACACTTGACTTGGACTTGGCTTGAATGACTCAAGACTTCATTTGTATGTTTGATTTGTCTTAAATGACTTGAGACTTGACTGGACTTGTCTTGACTGACTCAGAACTTGACTTGGAATTGTTGGCTTGACTGACTCAAGACTTGGGATTTGACTTGGACTTGATGGAGGGGAATCACATGATGGGATAGAGATTTTAAAAAGTTAATACCAACCAAGTGTACCAAGTAACAGGTAGGAAGGTTTCCCTTTTTACTTTAGCAAAGTACATTTCGTTAGCCCGACTATATTTTCATTTTGCTTCACTTCATTCATTCTGTTTGACATCTTAATTTTGTTTGGGGAAGTATTTTTCTTAGTTTCTGTCTTACCAATCAGTAGCCACAGATAGGATAGTATGGATAGTACCATCAACATCATTTTCAGTAGACTCTGCTCTGGTAGTGGTTACCGGGAGCAGTTCACTTAAAGAAGACCTATTACACTACTTTTCCAGTCCTATTCATTTCACATCCTATTCACATTCCAGTGAAATGAATCGAGCGAGTTGTGTGTGTGAACGGAGGGCTGGATTTTGTATTGTTTGTAAAAAGCAGAGAAATCATGGCAGCTGCTGCTGTTGTCAGCCTGCTGCTCCCTATTTCCAGTCTGGATGGGATTTTTCATGTTTGCACAGAGATTACTGACTGTTGATCAGTATGTATTGATTTCTAGCCTCACCTCTACGTCTTATTTGATGTTGTGCTCAGTCTCTGTCTCTTACTGCTCCAGCCTGGGATTTGATCTCAGACTCCTTCCAATTCATCTCCTTCCTCTGTCTCACTCTGAGTGAGAAATGTTTGGATAAAACTTGTTCAAGTACATATAGTCTATGAAATTAAACAAAACATAAAAACAAAGAAGTTGCATGCCAATGGTACAAAATAAAATAATATAAATGCTGCTACAATAAATTATACAGATTAGCCTTTATAAAACTGTAGATATCAAGTATATTTGGTTTTCATGAAGGATTGTGTCTAAAGTTTTACTTTTCAGTAACAATTCCCAGAGTTTTTAAAGTTATGATAACTTTGTACTCACTTGTAAGTATTTGCTGAGGTCTTGAAACGCAGTGATATGATGTCCAATAGTTCAAGAAACACGAGTCCAATGATCAGACAGGTTGGAAACAAGCCAGCAGTTTATGAAATGATTCTGATATTCTGATTATTTTCATTATTTTAAAAATTAGCTGATTTTTGACTGATTATTTTCTCAATTAAATGAGCTATATGTAGTTTTCAAGGGCCACTAGCGGTGCGGTTTTTAGATTTCATCCTGCTTTGTGCTTTTACGTGTGCTCAAACTGTGAGCAGAATTGAACACACAGAGACCAAAACACCAGGAGACAGCTTCACACAACATGCTGGAATCTCATTTAAAATCCCACTGCAACGTTACAGTAATATTTTTATCAGCTTGATGTTGAACTAATCCATGCTCATTGGATAATGCTACATTGACTGCATTTAGCCAATGGGATACATCGGCGTTAGCTCCCCTGCCCATCTTCTGTAACTACTGGTGTTCACTGGAGGCTCAGCAATGTGAGCACAGCTAAATGTATTGGATAATAATGAAACGGTTAGTGTGTGTTGTGTGTGGGTGTGTCTGCGTGTGTCTGCCTGTCATGAAATGTAGTTGCTAGTGAGAGTAGGACGCCGCAACAGTGCCGCATCAACCCCAGCGATCACATTATATTTCACATGCTCTGCAGTAGTGTTAGTTTACCTGTCCAATAGGATGAAAGCCATATCTGAGTCGGTTTTGTCAGTTTCAAAACAAAGCGGAGGTCTCTCCATGACTCGAACCTTTCCAATGTTGACATTGTTTTCACCCAAAATCGATCTGATCCTCGTTTGGATCCATCACATAAACCTTTGTTGTTAATATCCTAAAGTGGAGTTTATGTTGAAGTCTGTGTTGTGCTGGCAGAAGGTCGTAGGGTTGCCAACTCCCTGAAATGGTAATAAGGGACAGGTGACGGGGACTCTGGGCATATGCGAATATAACAAGTAAAGAAAAATGTAATGTAGTCATGCAGGTGGTGGGGTCTGTGGGTACTCCCCTAGAAAGTTTTGAGCGTTAAGCACTTAATTTCCTGCATTCTGGTGAAATTTTCGGTACCAATTTCTGCCTTTTCTGCATCAATCTGGAAATGTTTTTATTTACATTATGTAAAGGGAAACGTAAAACTCAGTTGGCAGATGACATCCAATCTTCAGAGAAGAAGCTTGTGAGAAGTACAGACATGCAAGTAGTAGTCCCAGTATACCAAAGAGTAAAACGTAGAAGTGCATAGCCTACCGGCGAGTACCGGCACATTTGAAGCACAGCGTATGGCCACTGTTGACAAGCAAGCTGCTGCTGTCTCTTGGCTGTCTGTGTGTTGCTGATGGTAATGCTTGAGATGCAGAGACAGCAGGACCTATAGAGAAAAGTCAAAGCAATGCAAAAATACACACAATGAATGCTGACTCTAGAAAGCAGAAGCTGAAGCCCGGACTTTTGAAATCCCGTCCAGAAGTATTTTTAAGGTCCCAGAAAGAGGATGTGTCCGGAAAAAAGAGGACGTATGGTCACCGTAGTTATACACATGTTTTTCCAATGCGTAACAAAATTGACGTGTGGCGTGAGAGCATGTGAAAGGTAACAATTACATGAGTACATGAGAGTTGGCAGCTCTGCATTCACTTTCTTTTTGTCACTCTGCTCTGTATTTCCGTAAATGGTTTGTCTTTTTTACCACTTGAGCGTCAGCCAGCATTATAGTAACAGCAACACTGACACAGGTCTTCTCACTGATTCCGGACAGAGCTGCACAGTTTCATCACGTAGACATTTATTTTCAAAATACGGAACAAAATGCAAAATGTTCATTAAAGAGGTGGTATTATGCTCATTTTCAGGTTCAAAATCTTATTTAGAACAAGTTTACATGGTTTGACTTTCAAAAAACGCCATATTGTTTGTCATTCTCCACATTGCTGCAGCTCCTCTTTTTGGCCTGTGTTGAAGGCTTCGTTTAGCTATGGAGTGATACATCTTGTCTCTAAATGATCTTTGTTGGGAGTTGCACATGCGCAGTTCCTAGTTAAGGACTACTAGCCAATCAGAAGCAGAGAAGGGCAGGTCAGCGAGAAATCGTAAACACGGCTTCGGTTCAGCTGTACATGTTGCCGACCAGCTTGGCAACATGGACTGGAGCGAGAGTTTCAGAGTGGTGAGTTATTAATCTATAACAAAAGTATCTTTCATCCATAAAGTTTTAACTGAGCTCTATCTCTACATCACAGTAACAACTTTATGTCCACTGACTGCCTGGAGGGTAGCTAGTGTTTGGAAGGGAGAGGAGAGCTGTGTGCTGCAGCTCACTGTTTCTGAGGGCGTGTCGGAGTAGCCGCTTGGCGAGCGTTATGATGCGCATTTAGCTTTCATCCCTGTGTCGTCACAAGGATGAAAGGGAAGCGGCTGGACTACAAACGAGCTGTTTTCAAGCGGTTCAGAGCAGAGTTTTCTGTGGGAGATGGGAACTCCTTTGGGCTGGACTTTTGCCTTTTTCACTTTGCAAACCTGTTACATGTACAAAAATTGTGTATAACTCAATAAAGGAGAGGGAAAAAGCCAAACAGCATAATACCACCCTCTTTAAAAGACATGTCTTTTAGTTTCTAAATACAGGATAATTCCGTATTTTAAGGGACGGTTAGCAATCCTAGCCGGTCGCTTTATGGTTTTAGCAGACTCCATCTCATTAGTTGTTGCTGAGTACATGGGTCAGAATCACAAGGCAAGAGGCTTGGGAGAGCACATGCAGTCACAGCCAATGGATTTTTTCTTCACATAGGATTAGGTATACTGGCCATAAGAGGTAACAGAAAAGCTCCACAAGTGGATGGTTTTTGTGTGAGATTACAACCACTTCACACACAGGCAATAAAGAAGTGATTCACTTGAGTTAAAAAACAACATATAGCCCCTTTAATAAATGAATGGTTTGATTTACACATGGAATGTCAGTCAAATAAAAAGTGGCCATCACAACTATCCGTAGATATTCACGTTTTCACATTTGAGAAGCTGGAACCAGTGATGCTTTACCAATTTTGCTTTAAATGACACCTTACAGGTTCCAAATGTTCCAGCACTTGATCCCAGAAGCCCTGTATTATTATCTATTCAAGATCAATTTATTCAAATTCACTGGTCAAATAAATAGTTGTTTGTTACTAAAGCAGTGAAATACCTTATTTTAACATTCTTTAACTGAACACTGGTTATGTGGAGAAAATGTTGAAAAAAAAGACAATGGCTGAAGCTCTTCATTCTGTTCTTTCTATATTTCTTTATTATATGAATAAAGTTGACATGTCCTGGTCTACAGTGACTACAGAGCCTGCTGTGCCTTTTTGACTTGCACGCTCATGGTGACCTGACACATGTTCTGTTTCTTTTCTGTAATAAAATAACTAAACATTTGGTTTCTATCCACTGTTTTCCTCAGGTTCTGTGTATGATCACAGCTCCAGTCACCATGATCCTGTCCTCCCAGCAGGACGCTTCCTTCGCCTTTGCGTCCTTGGCCATTGTCTTCTCGGTCTACATCACCCTAGTGGTTCTGTTCGTCCCCAAGGTGAAGGCAGAACACTGTCCTCTCATCTCCTCACTTCAGATTAGAGCAGCAGTTTAAGAGTCAGGCATAAAGAATAGCCTTTCAGCGCGAATCAATGTCATCTGGGCCAGTAAAGTATATCGCATAATGCCTTGCTGTGTCAGCATCAATACCTGCTCAGGTTTAGTAAAACTTTATTTTTGTCACAGTAAGCCATGCGTGGAACAGGAAAACACAAGAGACTCAGGAGACTAAGCAGGTTCAATTCAATGGTTTAATGAAAAACTAACATAGAACACTGGCTTATAGCAAGGTGGAGGCAAGCAGGCCAAAATATAACCAAATCCAAAAAGGAGCAGGCAATAATCAAAATTCAACTGAAGTCCAAGAAATCAGTCAAAAGGCTATCAAATGGTAGGATTTCCCCCCTTCTGGTGTGTAAATCCCTACCTCTGCTGAATAATTATTATGCCCCCCTCTGAGTGATCTACTTCAATAGTGATGCAAATTGTCATAAAACGCACGATTCAGAACGATCCATAGTTTTGTTAGGGTTAAATTAATTATAAAATGCGCTACTTTGGCTCTGATCCAGCTGCCTCTCTCTGTCTATGGGTCATCACCAGGCTAGAGTCTTGCTCAATGTCCCGGCCACGGCAGTGTGTGATTGGTTACAAGTCGCGAATAATAGCCTATCAACACTCACGAGACATTTGCTCCGGTAAACAGCGGAGCTGTGTGCCGAAAGGAAGCTGCAATAAACTTCACAATCTGACGATCTATTTCTATGATGACAAGAAGCCCAGTGTCCGTGTTACACCTTTGAGCATGTCCGAACACACAGATACAGGGTTTGACTTAATGAAAGTGACAGCTTTTCACACCTTACCCACGCACTTCACCTGAGAGGTAAACACAGCATGCATCTGTTCAAAATCTGTTACTAAATTTAGTACATCTATATATCAAGTTATTTATCCGATTTATCCGATACATAAGTCAATGATCTGCCAACTGTCAATATGAGGGGAGACTCCACTAGGAACCCCTTTTTAAAATAATTCTAAAGGAAAAATTATGATTCAAGCTCCAAAGGGGTAAAGTCCAAAACTTGACCCCTGGTGAACTCCTTCAGTAACTGCTGATTAAGGAAAACATATTCATGATTTGTAGATGCGGCGTCTCATCACCCGGGGTGAGTGGCAGTCAGATGCCCAGGAGACCATGAAGACCGGCTCATCCACCAATAACAATGACGAGGAGAAGTCCAGACAACTGGAGCGAGAGAACAAGGAGCTACAGAAGATCGTTCAGGAGGTCAGCAAGGCCCTTTCTCACAGAACTCTTAATTCTTTCTTTTTCTCCATATTTAGCAGGTAAATGTATTTTTGGGATTATGAAAATGTTAATCTTGCGTTTCTAAAGGTTCAATGTGTAATATTTTGGAGAATCTATTGACAGAAATGCAATATAATATAAATAAATATGTTTTCAGTGGTGTATAAAGACCTTTATATTTATTTTATACCATAATAAACCGATGCGTTTATTACTTTCCCACGTTGCGCCGCCATGTTTCTACAGCAACCCAAACGAACAAACGGTGCTACAGAGCGCATTTTGTCACTACATTGAATTTATACGAATAATAAGAAGAAGAAGAACAAGTAACAGTAGCAGTAGCATTAGCATTTGTCTGGTTTATTAGAAGAAAGAAGAGAGGTGAAATGTGGACAAATATAGGACCACACATATAATTTAGAGCCAACAGAGCGTGTCAGCCACCGTAGCTTCTCTTGCACGCTTGCAACAGGAGGGCTGAGTGGTGACTGACGGTGCCATTCATGTGGTGTCGGAATAATTAGAATTTTTTTTTCCTCCTTAAATCTTTATTGCAAAAAGAGAAATAAAGTGTACATGGGACATAAAGAAGTATACAGAACTTTGATTCATGCAAAATCACATATTGCATATACATATTTTGCAAACATGTAATTTGTAATATGGCAATGACGTTTAGTTTGCCGTCCATGCAGAGTGAATGAGATGTCTGCGTGTTCTTTATATAGATATATGATAATATATGATAAATCTTTGTAGTAGCATCCATGTTGATTCCGACTTAAGAGCAAATGAACACACACTGAAGTCAGAAGAACAACTTTACAACTTGGGAAATGGAACCATACGAGGAGAATATGAATTTAGCGCTCACCACTATATACCACTAAACGTGCACACTGAACCTTTAATATAAGTTTTCAAAAATGTCAAAATAAATGTTGACATACTTGGTTTTACTAGAGGTTTTCAACTTCATCTCATAGCCTTTTGCACAGTTGTCATCACATCTATCCATACTTGCAAACTCCATCCACTGAGCAAGATTGGGTATAAGGTAAGATAAGGTTAAAAGGTCTGGAAAAAACCTAAGTGGGTAAACCTGGGTAAATCAAACCAAAACTATTGTATGCATGTATAGAAATCACTCAATAGGTAGGTAGGTAGATTTATATTGTCACACAATAACAGGCTATAAAGTGAAACTGAGTTTGTAACTCCCTTCTTATAGCAGACAATATACATTAATATAGAAGCAATTATAAAAATGGTAAACAGAAATAAACTATCATCACTGGAGCAGTGCTGAGGATGAATTAGAGTTTTAGAGTCTGATATCTTGGGGGAAAAAGCTGCTCTGCAGTCTGGCGGTGCGGCAGCAGAAACTTCTATATCTCTTCCCAGAAGGCAGCAGGGTGAACAGGCTGTGGCTGGGTGGCTGCTGTCCTTTAGTGTCCTTTGGGCGATGTGAGCAAATGTCTTTTGTGATATTAAAACACAAGCCTTTCTCATTTTTCTGTTCTTTCCAGACAACTCCTGTCAACTATCAAATAAATTAAAACGTAAGGCTACCATATAACAGTAGAGGAGATTGTTGAGTTATCATTACTATTTGTCCCCTCAGAAAGAAGAGCGTGTGTCGGAGCTGAGAAACCAGCTGTCTGAGCGACAGGCCCTGCGATCCAGGAGAAGAGCTTCCACTGTCACCAATCAGAACCACAGCTCTCCCCCCCTTACCATCGCCCAGAGCGACCCCAGGTCTCTGGCCCCTCCTCCAGGGTACCCTGCCCCCACCTCTGATCCCCACACTATCTCGCCGTCCTTCGCAAACTCGTCCAGCCTCTACCAGCCAGACAGCAAGATTAGCCGGAATAACTGCCACGCCAGCCGGCTGCAGCTGCTGTACAAGTGAGATGGTGGTGAACATTGGAGGGAGGAGGACAGTAATTACATTCATAGCTACATAGAGTATCTTTGGAGGAGCTGACTCCAAAACTCATTTCACTGATCAGCTGCAGGAGGCCAGAGGATAACCAGTGGAAAGGTTAATATAAATCTTTTTTTAAGAGAGGATTTACATTTGCACTTGTTTCACTCTTTCCAAGCTGATCATCATGTTGTTTTTCTTTTTCTTCTCTGACAGATAAAAACATGTACATACATCTTGTTAATTATACAATTTTGCATCTGTGATCCGCCAGTGATTTATGTGCCATCTAGAGTTTGAGAAAAAATGCTCAGACTTGACTTTTCACTAAGACCTGACCTTATTAGCTTGAATTACTAACCTGTCAAGCTCTCCATTGTAATGTAATGCAATTTACAGTGGTGGCAGATTTACCATCAAAGTTTGTGGTAATGTCTGAAACAATAAGTCCTTGCCTTGACAAGAGAAGGCAAAAGCAGCTTCTTGATTTTGTCGCTGGCAGATTTCATCTGATGATTTATTTGCTAATTAACGTTAGATCCTTGAGTTGGTTGAAAACTGTCTTCAGCTGACTCACTTTAAAATGAGTAGCCTGTAAAATGGTCTTTAATATGCACATGCTGGCTACCTACATGATATTATGCTAAAAGACTGAGACGAAAGCTTCATTTCCCAGGGGAAAAGTCAGCATTTCCACCAGTTGATGATGATCCATTTAGAAGACATGGGGAAAAAAGGAGCAGCATTCTTTATGTACTGTGGGGCAGCTGATTAGGCCTAGGATTATAAGGCAGTATGATAAAGAAAAGGTAATGTGATTTCATTCTAACATACATAGATTTATCATTTATTGTTCATATTCAAACAGTATGTTTCACTTTTACAGGTGAAAAAACTTGAGGATGTGTAGTAAAGTAACCAATGAGTTTGGAAAACTGGGGGAATGCTATCTGGGGTAAAGTGTTAGGCTCGAGTGTAAACCTCCACAAATCCAATAAAGAGCACAAGAGAGCCACTAACGTTGGCCTAAACTCTGATATAGATGCATTCAAGCCCGGCTCAAATGACCCTTGGCCTTGGACGTAACGCTAGGTTATACTGTAGGTAGTATGCAGTTAGTACAACAGATTAACACACTGTGTGTACTTGGTATCCAAACCACTCGTAGGGTTGTATCCTTTTAACCCTTCAAAACCAACACAAGGGTGTAGGGAATGAAATGAATTGTGTTTGTGTAGCTTGAGTCTCAGTCTGTTAAATATCTTAAATGTAGCCTTTAAGTGCATATTTAAAGACCCTTTGAACATGGCTCTCATTTTAAACAAGTCAACTAGAAAGAATTAATTCTTCAGCCATCACTGAGTTAGTGTTAATTATTCAATTAAATCCTTTTTTATTTATATAGCGCCAATTAGCTGATAAAATCTGCTAGCAACAGTTCATTTCAGCTGACAGAATCTAGCATCACTGACTGCAAATGAAAAGCTGCTTTATTTGCTTATGTGTGAAATCAAAGACTCATTATTTCAAAAGACTAAGAATTTCAATGGTAAATCTGCTAACGTTATCACTGAAAACTGCAGTGCTAGAAAGGGTCAACAGGAATAACAGTAACTAATGGGGAGTGGGGCTTGGCAAAGGGTCAATTGGAGACTAATATATTATGGCAAAGCATTTATCATATCTGTACCTTACAATATTGCCTCTTAATGTGTTTAGATAGTGCTATGTACTGTATTAAGAGGCTGGACAAAAGGACAGACTTCATGAGAAATAATGCCAGTTTTGTGACAAAGTAACTGGTTATATCCATTACATAGTCATTTTAGCTCCCGTTGTTAAATGTTTGATAGTGGTTTTTACATTGTCTCTGTTCAAAGAGACTTCTGAGTCATTGTACATAGTTGTGTGTGTTCATGCTAAACCCCTCACTGTGGATGAATTCAATCCTGCCTATTCAGGGCTGGGAAGAAAGTCAACTGAGGACACCGCTGTTATCTGTGAGATATTTACTGTATCAATTGTCGTGACTGCCACACTCAAGAGCTGAAGGAACATTACATGAGGCTAAAAGCATAAATTCAAACACCTTTATCTGTTTAATATTTAGCTGGGTCCTGGTGTTTAACTTTCCTTTGGACAAGACAGATAAATACCAGAAATAAACAGTGGACTAGTGGTCGGCTGACAAGGCTTAAATGTCAGAATTTGTTGTTATGTAATATTTAAAGGGAACATATTTTGCTTTCCCTGATTTTCTGTCATATATTAATGTTAGTATATGCCAAAGTTTTAACTAATAAGGTAAACAGATGTAAAAGCAAGCCCTGTGATCAGAAAGCTTAGTCTTCTTGCTGCTCTGAATACTTCGTGTCCATCGGTGTGGAATTCCTTAAAACTTAACTGATTTTAAAAATGTGGGATATCACAGACATAACGACAGATTTAACCATTTTTTTATATTTTAATCTTAAAAGCACACACATCAAACAATTTAGTCCAGACGCAAGACCACACACATGGCGTTTATACTAAACAGTTTGAGATTGGCAGTTCCGGGGACTTGGGATAGCACAGAAACTTGTGTTATCAAATGTGACTTCAGACAGAAACAAACATGGAGGCAGACTGTCGTCGTCAGCTAGTTGTACTTGTGTGAGGTATGTTTTGAACACAGGGATTGAAATGAACTTTTTGGCTCACCTGCCAATGGGAGTGGTAGATGAAAAATCCACTGGCCAAAATAATAAATTACCCTTTTGTGTCACACGTACATTTGTTTTATTACTTTTAATTGAGATAATAAGGTATTATATTGAATACAAACTTAAAAAAGAGGCCAGAAATTAGTGCTATTAAATGTACTTAAGACACAACAGTAAATTGTTTTCTAAATTTATAAGATGCTTATTAATCATTCAACTTCAATCTAATCACTGCTCACTCTTAATCATGCTTTATCATTCAACTTAAGCCTCCTCATCAGATTGCTCACTTTCTATCACCCTTACTTTGCATGGTCCAGGAAGTCTGGCCTCCTCCACAGTTTTGTGGGATCAATCATTTTTACACAGTCTATGGATTGTACTCTTTGTTCTCTGGAACAACAGCTGGACCATAAGAAGACAGTATTTTTCTACGCCGCTGATTCCGGTAAAGCAGCTATATGAAAGCACACAGGGTTTGGGGTTATGTCGCAAACATTTGTTCAGTATGAATCAGCGAATGCGGTATAATAGCAGATATTCTTTCTGCGTTAATTGCGGGATCTCTGTATGAAAGCAGCTACACTCTCCCCTTTTTCCTGCCGAATCCTTCCTCCAACGCCCACCTACTTACAAATCTACACCAATCAAACACAAGTAACATAAAACGAACATAATAACAACCAATTACCCCCCCATATCCATGTGGTACACGATTTTAGATGCCTTGGTACAGCGGGGACAAAAGAAGTGCAACACACAACAAAAAAGAACGTCGGGCTGCTTTTATTACGTCAAATAGATATTATATGGAGATATAAATACTTTATTAGCCTTCCAACAATTAGGTAGGAAAATCTACCTGCATTTGGTGCTTGGTGGGTGTTAATTTCCAGCCCTGTTTGCACATAAAAAAGAATAACAATGAAGAATAAAACTGGATGAACTCGAGGCTGAGAAGAGGGAATCAGCAGGGTTTGTACATTTTATAGTGCGAGCAATACACAACAGGTTGGTGATGCTTTCCAGTCACTCATTGGCTGTTGCAAGTCGCTGACCTTTTATGTCTGTAAACCCCTCACACTACAGGATCATTTGGGCGGATAATCGGTTCTGAACAGCCTCGGATCAGGAACGTTCCCGTGATTGTTGGGAGGGTGAATCGGGCCCAAAATCTGCGCAATTATCCTCTAGTGTGCAGCCAGCATTACTCTGTCCTCTCTGCTCAGGACTAGTCTTAACATTTTTGGAGGTTACAAAGTTACAAGGTTGTTTATTTCTCATTACAGAACACAAGGTTGTATAAAGAAAAAAAAGTTTATGGTCCCTTCATGCTACACACAGAACAGAACAGAAAAATTAAATGTGTATTAAAATATGATAATATTTAAAATAAATCAAGTAAAACAAAATATTCTAAAAACAGTTATTTACACACAAAGGACTTGACTTGACTGGACTTGGTTGAAGACACTGGAACTGGATACTTTCCAGTATCTTCAACCAAGTCCAGTTGCCCTTGACTTTAACCTTCGTTGGATACCTATGACCTGGATGACTGAGAATCTTCATAGACATCTTACACACAAAGGCTATATACATACACATAGCTGCAGTAAATACATGAACATAGTGTCTGGTAAAAAGTGATTTTTCAGTTGTGATGGAAAGGTAGTTCATTTCTCGACAGACAGATGCCGCTATATGTTGCTAACTACTGCTGACTGTAGCTGCCATTAGCTAATTCACTCATTTAGCTGCACAGCTAGTGGTCCTATTAGCGAGCTGACTCTGGAGCCTGGGCTTTAAGACTCTAACCCTTCTTTAGATACAGTCCACGCTACAAACTCTGGTAAAAGCGGTTGACAGCGGGCACTGTCAACAAGTTAACACCGGACAAAACAGGGACTCTAATCCATGTAATTCTACTCGGCCCTGTTAACTGAGGATCAGCCGTGTGAGATGGTAGAATCAAAAGAGCACTCTAAGCTTTTTAAAAAGTGTTCACTGAAAATCTAAAAACAAAGAAAAAGAAAACAGGACATTACAGTGCAGTGAAAGTTACCAATCTACAGATTTAATTAAAGGCAGTGATAAAAAGAAAAGTCTTCAATATTTAATTAAAAGCAATGGTAAAAAGAAAAGTCTTCAGTCTTAATTTAAATGAGCCGACAGTTTCAGCAGACCTGCAGTTATCTGGGAGTTTGTTCCAGATATATGGAGCATAATAACTGAACGCTGCTTCTCCTTGTTTAGTTTTGACTCTGGTGACAGAAAGTAGACCTGCCCCAGACGACCTGAGAGGTCTGGATGGTTCATAACGAAGCAGAAGATCAGAAATTTATTTGGGCCCTAAACCATTTAGTGCTTTATAAACTAACAGCAGGATTTTGAAATCAATTCTTTGACATACAGGAAGCCAATGTTCTGTGTTCTTAGTGAGGACTCGAGCAGAAGCGTTCTGAATCAGCTGCAGCTGTCTGATGGATTTCTTAGGGAGCCCTGTAAGGACAGTTACAGTAGTCCATACGACTGAAGATAAATGCATGGATAAGCTTTTCCAGGTCCTGCTGAGACATAAGTTCTTTAATCCGTGATATATTCTTCAGGTGATAGTAGACTGACTTTGTAATTGTCTTAATGTGGCTCCTCAAATTCAAGTCTGAGTCCATGACTACACCAAGATTTCTGGCTTGATTTGTGGTTCTTAACATTACAGATTGAAGTCGAGCTCTGACTTTCAATCGTTCTTCCTTGGCTCCAACTTCAGTTTTATCTTTGTTCAGTTGAAGAAAATTCTGGCACATCCAGCCGTTGACGTGCTCAATACAGTTACTCAGCACTCGTATGGGAGCATAGTCCCCTGGTGAAATGGTTATGTAAATCTGTGTGTCATCTGCATGATTATGGTAGCATATTTTGTTGTTTTTCAGAATCTGAGCCAGTGGAAGCATGTAAATGTTATTACAAGGCCCCAGAATGGAGCCTTGGGGAACTCCACGTCATTTTTGTCAGCTCAGATGTGTGATTACCTATAGACACAAAGTAGTCCCTGTCCTTTAAGTAGGATTCAAACCATTTTAGTATTGTGCCAGAAAGTCCAACCCAGTCCGTCTAGTAATATGTTGTGGTCGACCGTGTCGAATGCAGCACTGAGATCCAATAATACTAAGACTGAAATTCTGCCATTGTCAGTATTTGAATGAATGCCATTGAAGACCTTAACAAAAGCCGTCTCAGTGATGTGGTGTGGTCGAAAACCTGACTGGAAGACATCAAAAGAGTTATTTAGTGCCAAGAAAGCACAGAAAAACAGCCTTTTCAATGATTTTACTTTTTTAGATTTGATATGGGCCTATAATTGCTCATTAGTGAACTGTCTAGACTGCTCTTTTTTAAGAGTGGCTTAATGACTACAGTTTTCAGAGCCTGTGGGGAAAAACCTGAGAGGAGAGACATGTTGACAATTTGTAGTAGATCTGAGGCCATGCATTTAGACACATTTTTGAAAAAACCTGTTGGCAGAATATCAGGGCAGCATGAGGAGGATTTCAGATGTTGTATTATGTCCTCCAGGTTTTTATGGTTAATAGAATCAAATTGTCTCATGCTATATGAATTGTTTTTAAGTGGACACAGGGACAAGACATATCCTGTTACTGACATGGAGGCACTGGTTGCTTGACTAATTGTCTGAATTTTGTCTGTGAAGAAGGAGGCAAATTCATTGCAGGCCCTGGTGGATAGACATTCAGAGGCTACAGACACAGGAGGGTTGGTTAGCCTGTCGACAGCAGCAAACAGGGCACGTGCATTATTAGTGTTTTTGGTGATGATGTCAGAGAAGGAGGACCGCCTTGCATTTCTCAGTTCTAAACCTGGAGATTTGTTTTCCGCCACCTGCGTTCAGCTTTTCGACACTCTCTTTTTAATAGTTCTAACCAGTGTGGCATTTCTCCATGGAGATCTTCTCTTACCAGAGACCATCATCACTGAGACCTGTGAGAGGGCAGGTATCGAAGAGAAAGACTCAATAAATTTTTCACTAGTGTTTTCAGTGATATGCCGTTTTGTGATCACCTCTGTTTGTACATTTGTGTGCACGCAGATAGCACTCTCAAAGAAAACACAGGAATGATCAGAGAGAGCAACATCAGTCACCACAACCTTGAAAATGTCCAGACCCTGGAGATGACTAAGTCCAAAGTGTGCCCCTTATTGTGTGTGAGCTCCGTCACATGTTGGGTCAGTCCATAATTATCAAGAACACAACACAGTTCTTTAGTCCCTTTGTCCTGGGGGTTGTCAACATGGATGTTAAAATGACCAACAATAAGCACACAGTCAAAGTCAATACAGATTATAGACAGCAGTTCACCAAAGTCATCAAAAAAGTTTGCACAGTATTTAGGGGGTCTGTAGATATTTAGAAAAATAGCTCAAGAAGAGGAATTCAGCTGAAGAGCCACATATTCAAAAGAAACAAATTTCTCATAAGACATCTGTTTGCATTGGAGGGAGTCATTAAACAAAATGGCAACTCCACCTCCTCTCTTATGCACTCTAGCTTCACTCATGAAACTGAAGTTGGGAGGGGCAGACTCGATTCAAACGACAGCTGCACTGTTATCTTGGTCCAAAGAAGTTTCAGTTAAAAACATGAAATTAAGATTGTGAGTGATTATAAAATCATTGATTAAAAATGTTTTTCCTGCCAAAGAATGTTTAACAAAGCTAATTTTAATGTGTGAAAAACATTTTCTGGCCCACTTTTTTCGACATGCTGCGGCTGACGAGGAATGTTGAGTGCTTCCTGTTTCTTAACACATTCACCATGCTTTTTTTGTTACCTGTCAAGACAGGGATGGAGAAGACTACAGCACACTGGGAAGAGTCATGAGTGCTATTTTCCTTGTAGCCTGGACCCAGCACATATCAGACAGAGCTTACTGGGCCATTGTGGAGCGGGAAGGCGGGTTGGGCGCTGTATTTGTGACACGTGTCAAACCTGGAGGACTTAGAACCAGTGGTGGAGGCGGACGGTGAGGGGGGTTTATGGTAGAGAAAA